GAACAACATAATTTTCTCAGTATTCTTTCATTGACACTCCATTAATTTGTTGCTGAGTATTCACTGTTTCCAACATAATATTAATTGAATTTCTATTATTATAAAGTTGTAGTTTTACCACTCTTTTTTTTTGTAGCAAAAATAAAAATAAAAATTAAATCTATATTAATACTATTATTATTTATTTGAGGCTTTAATTATGTGCAAAAAAATAAAATAAAATCTATATTATGGGGAATATAATTGATGCGAGTCGAGAGAAAGAGGTGGGAGTGAGGGACATAATTGATTTGAGTAGGTACGGTTTCATGATAATGCAGATGCTACGGTCCCGTTACAGAATCATTTCGTTGGAGTTTGTAACTGTTAGATCAACTATCCCGATAGTTATATAATGATCCAACAGTTACAAACCTCGACGGAATCTATATCTATATATATATAATTGTTAGCTAATCATTAAATAAAACCTCATAAATAAAACCTAATTAATAAAACTTCATTTATTTTCCCTCCAAAAGAAGTTACAAAATTTGTCATTTATATTTTGTCTTTCACATTAATACACCCCTATTAAGTGTAATCATGTAAAAAAATTAATAGCATTAACTATTATATAATACAATAGCAAAAAATAGCATTAACTACTATAATATAATAATAATAATAATAATAATAATAATAATAATAATAATAATAATAATAATAATAATAATAATAATAATAATATCTTGAAACAATAAAATTGTTTATACTTATGTAATCTATATTTAGTGTAAAATATTATGAGTTGGTAATAGCATTAACTATTATATAATATAATAGCAAAAAAATACATGATTACACTTAATAGGGTGTATTAATGTGAAAGGCAAAATATGAATGACAAATTTTGTAACTTCTTTTGGAGGGAAAATAAATGAGGATTTATTAATTAGATTTTATAAATACATGATTACATTTTATGAATGATATTATTATTATTATTATTATTATTATTATTATTATTATTATTATTATTATTATTATT